GTGAGTCCGGCCGGGCCGGGCCGGGCTGGGTCGGGGGCGCGGCCTGGACCCCCGCCGGAGCCCGGGCCCGGCGGGCGGCGCCTTCCGAGCGCTGGCCGGAGCCCGAGCAGGGCTGGGGGCGCCGCCTGAGAGGGGAGCGCGCGCGGACCTGGGTCATCTGGGTCACTGGGAGACCAGCCCCGGGGTGCTGCGGACGCTGGAAGCGGCCTCAGCCCCTGCTGCCCTTGAGTGCCCTTATCTTCCAGGCCTGTCCTGATCCCGCTTGCATTAGGGGATGTGCCCCCTGCTGCCCCCCCGCATCCCTGCCCACAGCGCGTCTCCGGGCACTTCCCCGGGGGCGGCGCCCTCCGGCCACCCCACACTTCCTCTTTCTCTTGGTTTGGCTCTCCGGAGACAGGGAAGTTACAGGGGGTGGCCCCTGAGAACGTTTGCCAGGCTGCTGGCCACCCCTTCTCATACTGACCAGTGAACCCTTGTGTGGTCAAGTGGCCCTGACTGGGTGGCTCGGGGGCGCGCGGGGACGGGAGTGGGGGGGGAGGGGCGCTTCATGCAGGAGAGTTTGTGACCGGACTGCAGGCGACAGGGCTCCTGGGCCACCAGGCCTGGGAGGGCAGACAGGCCCAGCTGAGCCTGCACTCCTCCCTGAGCCCCTCTTCGGCCAGGTCTAGTGGGCCGTGCCATGTCCGTGACCCCCTCCGTCCCCCCAGAGACTGGGCTAGAGCAGGAGGGGGAAGTCACTGCATCCCTCCACTTCTGACTTTCTCAGATGTGAGCAGAGAGTTTCCCTGGTCTGACTCACAGAAAGAGGGCCCCAGACAGGCAGGGGGCCACACTCAGCCTGGCCTCGGGTCGGGCACATCTTACTTTCTGCTCCCAGAAGGAGCACTTCTCTCCCTTCCCTTCCGCCTCTAAAATCTCTCTGAGTTGATTTTGGGCCCACGGGCCGGTGACCTCGTGACCTCCCGAGAGCCAGGTTTAAGCCCTGCTGAGTCCGGGGCTCAGCGATAACACTGCCAGGCTGGGACCTCCGATCTCGGGTCCTGCGTCTTTGCTCTGGGTCCCCTGCCCTTCACCCAGCTCTCCGGGGCCCTGTCCCGGGTGGCTCCCTGGTAAGTCCTGCTTTCAGACGAGCAGACTGAGGCCAAGGGGCCCAGGGGGCTGCACATCCAGGTCTCCAACCCACGAGGCAGCCTTTGTACCTCCTGGTTCCATGGCCTGTTACATTTGCAGCAGTTGGAAAGAGTATTCTGCCCTGAAATCCCTCGAAGACCGCAGGTGTCTTTTCTGGACCCACGGTGGGTGAAGAGCCCCAGGGGGTAGCCACCCACAGGCTTGCATTCGTGGCTTTTGAACACACAGCAGCCTCTGCCTATCCCCCCCCCCCCCCCCGGGG